AAATCTTGGGTCCATAGCCCTTCTCATCTGCAAAACTGAATGCCAGTGGAGACATACACTACTAGATTTTAAGAGTCTTACAAGGTTGCTGGAAGAAGAGAAAGATGCCTTAGGTGCATCGAATCAAGGATGGCATGCAAAAGTAATTTAACAAATAAACCTCATTTTCCATTATTTCCTCCTATTGCTAAGAGCGTAGATCTCCAACCTTGGCAACTTTAAGACTTGTGGACTTCAACTCCCAGAGTTCCTCCCTTGCCAAGGTTGGAGACCCCTGATGTAGATGGTCTTCCTCCAATTCAGAAAGGAAAAAGATCTCTAGTAAAACAGTGATAAGGACACATAAGGTCTCCATTATTACTCCAAATGTTATGTAAGACAGAGACCACGCACATGTAAGCTTTCAGTGAGCACACCATCATATTCAAGACCTTACACAGTGCTGACTGATATATTAAAGTTGACTTACTAGCCAGGGAAATGCACCGTCAACACATGAATGTTATATAATAAGGGAGGGGGCCATAAAATACTAAGAATGAACGTAATGAAATAGAACTGCTTGAATTGTTGCACATCCAAAATGAAGCATATCAAATTCAAAACATTTTACAAATCCCAGTTATGTACTGTACATTTGAGTCAAAATATGAAAAAAATGCATTGAATTACAAATCTCGCCCTGAGGGCACATCCACAGTTCTCCCGCCATTCACCGTATCCCTGCAATGACCCTAGAAGATGGCTCCTACTGGAAGTAATGATTGCATAAGGTCTGTGATTTCAGAACTGGGTACCTGAACCTCCGCCTGAGTCTGTTCAAGCATGCTTCTCCTCTCCCTGAGGTAACAATTTTGCAAAATGGGATTTAAAATGAGGTAGAGACCAAAGCACCATTCTGCTCAACAGAAGCATCAGGATGTGGAGGAGGTCCTTGGAAGAAAGGCAAATGAAAAATCGCTTCAAACTGAGTGTTTGGGTTTACAGGGAATCCATGCTTAGCAACCACAATTGGCAGAAGATGGCCACAACTCTCTCGCTAAGCTCTATGGCCACTGAGTGAAAAATCAGGCATCTGTAATAGGCTTACAACAGGAGTGTCAAACTCAAGGCCCACAGGGTGCTTAAATCTGACCCGCGGGGTTGGCCTGGAAATATCGAGGGACCCGCAGTCCCTCTGCTGGGCAAAACAGGACACAAAGAGGCCCCGCATGACCCGTATTTGGCCTCCCTGGCCTCCAGCAGCACACTGCCGGCTGAAAAAGGCTGCATGGGGCCTCCATGCGGCCTGTTTTCAGCTGGCAGAATGCTGCAGGAGGCTGGGGAAGCCCAGCCCCCCCGCCCATGCCCCATTTTGACCAGCAGGGTGCTGCAGGAGGCCATCCATCTGGTTCCCCCCACCCCCAGCCTACAGAGGAAAACTACAATGCTGATCTGGCCCCTCAAGAAATCCAGTTTGACACCCCTGGCTTAAAACGTCTCTTCCCACTTGGTGGTTAAGTGAAACCTCAGGTGCACGCTCCTTGCAATTTTACTGCTGGCTCTCCATTGACTCTGCTTGTTGTGAAGAACAAGAATGGCAAACCACCCAGAGTGCTGTAAAGCAGGGGTCCCCAACCACCGGTCCCCGGACAGGTACTGGTCCGTGGATCATTTTTTACCGGGCTGCAAAGCTTGGGCGCCGCCATCTTGTTTCGACGGCGCTTCCGGGTTTTTGGTTGGAAAGTGCTTCCGGATTTTCAGTTGAAAAGTGGCGTTTGGGTGCTCGCACCTTAGTTTTGTCGAAGAGGGGGGCAGCTTCGAATGAAGAGCCATCCGAATGGTGGTGGAGTCTCGTGTTACTCAGGTACCGGTCCGTGGAAGAATAAATAATCGTGAAACCGGTCCCTGGTTCAAAAAAGGTTGGGGGCCACTGCTGTAAAGCACTATGAAGCAGTATATAAGTCTAAGTGCTATTGCTACTGTTACAAGGATTAGTTGCAAAGCTTTTTTAACCTCAAACAGTCATGAAACAAAGCAGTCAGTAAGCAAGGACTTTCTGTACAACTCTGCAGACAAGCTGGGTCAGGAGGAGCCTATATGTACTAGGAAAAAGCAAGATAGCCTTTTCTTCTGTCTAGGATCCATTACCCATTCTCCTAAGAAATATGTTTATTGAACTAAGTATATTTATTTAATCAAATGGGCATTGATACATCTAATGAAAATCAAGTCTAACCATCAACCCACATACTTAAATCCTAGCTGAAATATTAATCCATGCCTTAAATCCTAGCTGAAAAATATTTTCCTCCTATTCTGAACGTTACCCCCAAATTCCTTACTATATATAATCAGTTCTGAACATGATGATACTTGAAAATCCAACAGGCACTTTAGAGACAGACGTCAGCACTGGCATCATTCTTCTGAATGACTCCAGGTAGTTTCCTCCTGAAGAAAAATGGCAGCGACTGCACCCTTCCTTCACTTCACAGTTAATGTACAACCAACACCTGACTCAATGAAACCGCGATGATGAGTTTTGCCTCTCAAAGGACATCTCCTCCAGGCATACCAAAGTAACACGGCAGTGATAGCAAAAACCAGGGTTTTTTATTTGCCAGTCGATGCAAATGGAAAGATTTACATTTCTCCTGGGGAAAAGATGCTTCAGGCATAATCTAAGGAGTGCCTGGAGTAAACAGTGGAACGTAATACATAAAATAATCTTAGGAGGGAGGAAAAGCAATGAGTTGTGTCTAATACAAAAGACCACTTTAGATAAGGGAGGTGAAGCCGTTTACGGGATTTATTATTCATCTCTCACTTTATACTAAAGCAAGATAACCCCTCAATAAATCCTGCTTAAACAACTGCATCTGAAATTGTTGAGGAAAAGGTTGCTGAGCTTTTTAGAGCAATTCCAAAATCCACTGAAGTTCTAAACTTGACTCTGCCCCTGGGAGACCGCTCACAAGTAAAACTGTACTATCTTCCCTTAAGACTCCCACCACCACTAAAAATGTAGGCTGTTTTCCATTTGTTTCTTTTGGCTTTCCTTTAGCCACAACTAACCCCACATGGGATTTAGCATGCTCACAAATCCAGCCTAAGCTCAACTTGGAGATAATTGCTCTGCTTTACAGCCCTTTGGTACCAGACCATGCTTTCACCCAGCAAAATGGGCTGCCTCAGCATATGGTGAGCAAGCAAGGGGACACAGCAGAAGGTGGGTCTGGATTTACTGGTTGATGCCTGCTATTCCAGCAGACTGTCACAGGTTTCTGGCAGCTCCGAGCAACAACCATATGTGTGCAAGGACTGTGAACAACTTCTGAAGTTTTAATAACTATTTGGGTTCTTCACATGCATACACTTTGCAATCTGATCTTATTGTTGGGCTCAAGAGTCCTTCCTGGAGGAAAGGATACAGAATTTGCAAACTTGGAATTCCATCCAATTCTTATCCTAAGGGGCTAATATATCCCCCTAAGCAGGAATGATACTGGATTGCAAAACAAGAATCTTTTTTTTTCCCTTCCCAGACAAGAGTTCAGTGTTTTTGAGACAGAATGACACTGTTCCTTCCCAAATCACCACTTATCTCCGTGAAATATACAGTAAGGACAAAATTGCTTTCTCTGGCCAGCCTACACACTGGGTGGATTTAGACCAAGGGTCTTCAAACATGGCAGGTTTAAGATTTGTGGATTTCAACTCCCAGAATTCCTGAGCTAACATGACCAGAGGAGAAATTCTGGGTGTTGAAGTCCACAAGTCTTAAAGCTGAAGACCGCTGATTTGGATCAAAAACGTTTCACTCCCAGGCCAGCTTAAGCTTCTGCACTACAGACGTTCAACACTGCCCACTGCATCTCAAGGCTCTCCTTTCGCCAGCGTGAACGCAGCAAGAGCAGCAGGCAAAGGCGCACGGAGTGGGTGGGTAGGGGGCTTCAAAACGATCCGTCGAGGGGCTACAGCTTCCTTCGCCCTCGTTGGGCACCAAATACGCACGAGATTACAATTCGTCCTGTCTCCACCGGCAAGTCTACCTGGTATATCACAGGAATTGTGATCGAAACCCGCTTAGAATTCTATTGCTATTTGGAAACCTGGAATAGCCAGATCGGAATAATAACGATTCACACCCAGGTCAGCACTTCTTTACTCTCCTACCGTCGGGGTAGGAGACATATCGAAGCATAGCCAACCGAACAAATAGGCTGAAAAATAGCTTTTATCCATGGGCTGTCAGACTTCTGAACGCAACATAAACACCACGGTTCGGTTTCATATGATAAGACTTGCAGGGCCAGCACCGAGGGAGTCTCATTTCAATTTCATTGTACGCATGTTGTGCATTGACTATAAACGTTTGGTTTGATTTGATAATTTTACAAAAAGGGCAATACGGTATGGATTAATTAATACCCACTAATGCGAATGAATCAGGCGTTGCAACCTTCTCCCTTTTTCTCCCCCCCCCCCCCCCCCCCACCCCCCCCCCCCCCTTCTCCCCCCCCCCCCCCCCGGTGCTTTTTCTCCGGCAAGCCGCCACCCCCAGCCCCCAGGTCCGAAAGGGAAAGGCTTAGCTTCAGGGAGCACCGAGGGAGGGCGCTGCTCTCCGGTTAGGGAAGGGACGAGGGGGAGCAAGGAGGGCTTCCCGTTCCCAGAAAAAGAAAAGAAAAAGAAAAATCAACCTCTCCATAATCCCCATTTATTCGCTTGCAAAGCAACCCCAGCCAACGGCATCGAAACTGCCCTGCGGAGGAAAGCCACCTCCGCCGCCGCCTGATCACCTTTTTACCCCCCACGCAAATTGCAAAGGACAGGCCAGTTTTTTCCACGAAGGTAACGGCGGAGTGGCCGATGCCAGCTCACCGCCAGCCAAAGCTGGCTTCTAATCGCCGGGGCTGGAAGCCAGCCAGCCAGCCAGCCAGCCAGCCCCGCTCCTCCCGCCCGTCCTTCTCCTTTCCTTCCCTCCCTCCGGCCGGTAGATTGCAGCCTCCCGTACTTGCCCTCCGCTCATGACCGGTGACTGCAGGACGCGCGGAAAAGTTGGAGTCCCGGGCAAAGCCCGCTTGCAAAGGGCGGGCGGGATCGCTCCGGCGGCTGGTTTCCCACCGCAGAGCGCGCGGGAGCCCCGGGATTTGGGCGCTTCTTCGGCGTTCGGGAGCGCTCCGGGGTTTCTGTCCTCGGCCGGCGGGAGATGGGAAGGGAGAAGGCGGTGCAATCTCCAGAGCAGCCGCCAAACGATCGCACACACCTTGGCCGCGGTTCTCCTCCTCCGCTGGACACGCGGGAGGGAGAAGCCTGCTCTTGGCGCCTTAAAGGGCCAGGCGGCGCTCGTCTCTGGGCGCAGCGAGAACAGGCTCCAGCCAAAGCGCCCGGGAATAAGTGTCCGGCTCCTTGGTTGCTTCCGCCTGCGCCCCTCTCTCGGGGGGCCCGTTGGTACGCCCCGAATTTTGATACAAGCGCAAGGGCAGCGGTTGGCTGAGGCTCGATTAAGGGGTGGAGGGATGCGAAGCGGAGCGGCCAATGGAGACGCGCTAAGCATGGCTCAAAGGACTGCAGCAGGGCCAAGGCGCTTATACCCTTAAAGGAGCCGCGACCTGCCAAGCCGGAGGGAGTGGGGGAGGGAGCGGTTCAGGTGTCTTGGAAACGTGCCAAAAACCGGAGAGAAAAGGACCGCGCGCGGAGACACGGAAGAAAAACAGCAATACGCCCTACGGGATCACGTCACAGGCTACGTGAGGAGAGACCAGCGGTGACCTCCCTTGTTGGCAAAACAGCAACATCGCGAAAAGAAACATTTTTTTAAAAAAAAGACGGTGGGGCGGAATTCCAGGAGGGTCTAAACTCGGGAAAATCGTTCTGGCAATCGACTTTGCTCGAGCTTATGAAGGATCTCCTACTGACTGTGCAGCAGGGGTAGCGAAATTAAAACTTGGGGACTTCAATTCCCAGAATTCCCCTTCATTTTCACTCACTCACACCACCACCCCCCATTCTCCCGGGGAATTCTGGGAGTTGAAGTCCACAAGACTTAAAAAGGTAGCCAAAGTTGGATACCTAGCTGTTGCAATCGGAGCAGCGCGCTAGAAATCCTGATGCGCATCGTGGGCGAAGTTTAGCCACGGGGGAAAGGAGGGTATGTCAAAAAAAAAAAAAAACCTGGCTATTTACATTCGAAAATAGAAACCAATTAAGATTCTCCTTGGGGCGCCTTAAAATGCACGATGCGATCCTATGACTTTTAAATGGGGGGGGAGGGGGAAGCTGCTTAGGATCAAGATGTATAAAGGTTTGCAGCCTTGTTCCACCGCAATCTTCAGGGAATTACGCCCTGTGCCCTTAAACGCCTGAGGCACGACCGCTTAACAATATGTACATTTGGAATTGTGATCGTTAGGATTCCGCAACAAAGCTGCGACAAAGTAAGCCGAAGCTTAAAAGAGTAGGGATCCCCAAAGTTGGTAACTTTAAGACTTTGTGGCTGGAGAATTCTGGGAGTTGAAGTCCACAAAGTCTTAAAGTTGCCAACTTTGGAGACCTCTTTTAAGGAGACACAGCCGTTTAACAGATCAGCTTTTGTCACTGCCCTCTCCATGCACACATGGGGAAAGAAAAGAAACAAGTAACGAAGGTAATTTCTGAAGGAACCGCAGACATACCAGCGTTAACGGCTGAGGGAAAAAAAAGCGTTTCTATGGAAGCCTTAACTGCCGAAAAAACAACACGGAGACCGTTGGTTCTCGAAAGAAACCTGGGAATTGTAGTTTTGCGTTGTTAAGCAACCCAGGCGAGGTGTCTGCATTCAAATACACATTAAATACTGTTAACCCTTTTGCAGTGAGGCGTAGACAGATAATCCCGTAAACATCTGTCAAAAAGAATAAAAACACCACAGCAAGAGATTTGTGCTCATTTTCCAAGATCACACAACTAACGTTGTACAGTATTTTACATCTTATCCGCGAAGTCTGAGGCAAATGAAGTCATAAAAACGCATTTTGCAAGGATGGCATCTTTTAGCCTGGCGAGAGACCATCAAAACCAGAAAAATTTAAACTTGCCAACATACTGCCTTGAATAGAGTTATGGAATTAGCGTTCCCAAGGGGGTAGCCAAATGGTATTAAAAAACCATTGGACTGCAAAAAGTCCCTAATATGGTAACTCGGGATCTCCCTCAAATAACTGGAATATAAACTAATTTTATGAAGATAGTGCTATCTAGTTATGGTCAACTAAAAAAGAAATAACTTAGAATCAGAGCGGAAGTTTTCTTGAATAAAATTTGGTGCCTTTGGAACCTTGTGTACAGTACTTTCCCTGTTTGTTTAAAAAATAATACCTGTTTGCTTCTACCATGCTTCTATTTTTGTAAATAAAATATGAGCACGTAATTCTCCAGTACTCTTTTATTCAAAGAAAATTAAACACTGGAATTTCTCACAGCTTTGGAAACACATAAAAAAAGCAATACACTGCTTCACAGTGCTTTACAGCCCTCTCTAAGCAGTTTACAGAGTCAGCATATTGCCAACTATCTGGGTCCTCATTTTACTAACCTCAGAAGGACGGTAGGTGACACTCGAACTGCCAACTAGCAGAATTAGCCTGCAATACTACACTCTAACCCCACTGTGCCACTACGGATAGATACATGTTCCAAGCCAGTGGGATATTCCTACAGTAGAATTCTGCCATAGTGCATGCAACTAATTTTTCAAATGCTTTCATTAATTAAACTGACACACTGTCAAAGGTTTTATCAAAGTACTGAAAGAGGAATTAGATATATAAAAAGTACAGAAAGAATGAAAAGGGCATACATACATACATGCTGTACACACACACACACACACACACACACACACACACACACACACACACACACACATATCTTTCAGGGTGTGGAAGTGGAGGACCTTAAGAGACAAAATGAATGCAACCCTGAGACACCCATTATACCAAATGAACCATTAGAAATTGGCCCTAGTTCTCATTTTTGCTATATGCGCTCCTGATGCAGTAATTAAGTAGTCAGTAAATATACATTCCTTGATATAATCTGTTTTACCTCCCCACCCCTTGAGACGCTATTCCAGGACATCGCATGCCACAACAACTAGACACAGAGGCAGTTTTTTTTCCTCGTGCTATCACTCTGTTGAATACCTAATCCCACAGTTCTGTCTTATGTCAAAATATATTTACCCATTGGTATGGTTGTATTATTATATCCTTCTCATCTGTTCCACTACCTTCTCTTATTGGTATAATTTATTATTGCTTTGTTGTTTATGCATCGGAGAAAAATTTCTTGTGTGGCTAATCAAACTTGGCCAATAAAGTATTCTGCTCTATACTATTCTAATTCTATCCTTATTCTAAGTATGTTCTTATTCTATTCTATTTCTATTCTATTCTATTATAATTGTATTCTATCTACGCTTATTCTAATTCTGTTCCTGTTCTATTCTGTTTCTATTCTATTTCTATTCTATTCTACTCCATTCTATTCTATTAAGTTCTCTTCTGTTCTGTTCTAGCATCTGGAAAAAGAAAGGTTAAAAAGAATATGTGCACACAAATACATACACACATGTACACTTTGGAATGAAACATCAGTGTCCTCTTTTTCTCCTCATCTTTTACAGCTAGTCTCTCCAATTGCAGCATCAAAGCCAGTGAGAAAATATATCATATTACTTACAATATGGCTTGTAGAGTAGCTTGATATGTGAATTACACTGATTGCAAAAGAGTTCCCACAGCATTAACAGATGTTACAGTTGGCTGAAGAAATACATATATTCTCCATAAAATCACAGCATGCTATTCTATTATATACTGGCCATTACAAGGAGGAAGAGATTCCAGTGGGTTGAATTTAATCACAGTTGTGATATTTAGATCAATTCTGCATACAATCATGGTTGTAATTTTTTTTAATTCCCATTGCTCCATTCTGAATGATTTGTGACCAGAGTGCTGCATAATTGTGTAATTAATCCCAGGATTTTGGGCGTCAACACCCACATTCTTGACCACTTGCTGTAAAATGTTAGGTTTACTGTAAAAGACATGCTGGAGAAAGAGATGGAAATTGTGTGTTGGAAGTAGGAGGAGAAAAAGAGAAAACAACCAAGTAAATAATGTTTTCACAGCTAGGAAAACATGCCTTACTGACTAAGGATGCAGGCTCTGTTGTACTGCTACTGTGATGGTATCAGAATTTCTTTGTCCTTTGTCCTTCTCATCTATTTATTATCACCATAAAATCAGGGGTGGGCTTCAAAAATTTAAGCAACAGGTTCACTGCCCGGTTGCTGGGTGGGCGTGAACATGGTAGGTGTGGCCTAGTTGGCCTTCTGCACCACAGTGTGGGGGGGCGTTTTAGCCCTCCCTGGGCTCCAGAGGCTTTTGTTGAGCCTCCGGGAGGGCAAAAATGGCTTCTCCGGGCTCTGGAGGCCTTCTGGAAGCTGGAAATTGGCCCATTTCCGGCCTTCCCGAACTTCCTGGAGGCTGAATTTTTGCCCTACCTGAGCCTCTGTGCATGTTTTGCACTTAGTTGCATCCAAAATGGGCCATATGGGGACTCCTGGGAGGGGTGGGCGAGGCGGGGCAGGGTAGGGCCAGCCAGGAGTGGGATTTGGGAGTTCTCCAGGGGCGGGATTCAAACAACTGGTTCTGTGGGCGTGACTTAGTTGGTGGGCGCGGCTTGGTGGTCATGTGACTGTGTGGGCGTGGCCAACTCAATATCACTCACATTGAGGCACGCATCTTTTTCGTCTGGCCTCTCATGACTGTGGGGATGCTGTAACAGTCATAAGTGTGAAAAACGGTCATAAGTCACTTTTTTCAGTGCCATTTTAACTTTGAATGGTCACTCCACACAAGCAAAGTACCAGCAAAGGAGGGGGAAAAAACTCCAGAGAAGTTCCTGAGACAGGAAGTCTAGTCCTGCCAAGAATGTAATAAGAGTTAACGGAGAGGCAGTTTCTGTAAGCAACCCCAGAATGTTTCCTTCCTGCCTTCCTTACAGGATTAGGCCAGTAATTTCTTCTAACAACCCATTCTCCGAACTGCTTAGAATGTTAACAACCAGTTCTAGCGAATAGGTGCGAACTGGTAGAATCCCACCCCTGGGGTTCTCTGAACTGCACAGAATTTTAGCTAGAGGCTCTCCCGAACCGCTGTGAACCCCCAGCAGCCTACCCCTGCATAAAATGCTAATAAAGACCTAAGCAATTTTCTCCAGGGCAGT